AGGAAAGCCGTTTCATGCTCACAGACTGGAGGACTGAATGTTGTGAAAATGTCCGTACTGCCCAAAGCAGGCTACATGTTCAGTGCAATCTCTACCAAAGTCCAATGACACTTTCCAAAGAAATAGAATAAACTACCCTAAAATTGACACGGAACTACAAAAGACCCTGGATAACCAAAGAAATCTTGAGAAAGAAGAACAAAGCTGGAGGCATCATACTTTCTGATTTCAACTGTATTACAAAGCTATAGTAATCAAAACGTTATGATATTGGCATAAAAAACAGACATGTAGCTCAATGGAACAGAATAGAGAGCCCAGAAATAAACCCACAAATACGGTCAATTAATTTAAGATGAAGGGAACAAGAATATACAATGGGGAAAGAACAGTCTCTAACAAAGTTGGGAAAACTGGACAGCCATATGCAAAAGAACGAAACTGGCCCACGACCTTCCACCACACACCAAAATTAACTCAAATTAATTAAAGACTTGAATGTAAGAGTGAAACCATAAAACTCTTGGAAGAAAAAGGGCTCTAAGCTCCTTGATATCAGTCTTAGTGATGATTTTTTGGACTTGGCAACAAAACCAAAGGCAACAGAAGCAAAAAAAAAAAAAAAAAAAAGAAAAGAAAAAACTAGTAGGACTACATCAAACTAAAAAGCTTCTGCACAGGAAAGGAAACCATCAACTAGATGAGAAGACAACTTGCTGAATGGGAGAAAATATTTGCCAATCACATCTCTAAAAAAGGTTAATATCCAAAATATATAAAGAACTCATACAACTCAAAAGTGAAAAATCAATCAGTTGAAAAATGGATGGAACACCTGAATCAACATTTTACCAAAGAAGACATACAAATGGCCAAGAGGTACGTGCAAAGGTGCTCAACATCACTATCATCAGGGAAATGCCAATCAAAACCACACTGAGATATCATCTCACATCTGTTATAATGGCTATTGTTGAAAAGACAAGAGATAGCAAATGTTGGCAAGGATTTGGAGAAAGGGTAACACTTGTGCACTATTGGTGGGAATGTAAACTGGTGCATCTACCATGGAAAACACTATGGAGCTCCCTCAAAAAATTAAAAATAGAATTGCCATATGATCCAGCAATTCCACCTCTCGGTATTTATCTGAAGAAAATAAAAACACTAACTTGAAAAGGTATATGCGCCAGCATATTCATTGCAGCATTATTTACAATAGCCAAGACACGGAAACAACCTAAGTATGCATCAGTGGATGAGCGGAGAAAGAAAATATGGTGAATATGTACAATGAATTATTACTCAACCATTAAAAGAAGGAAATCCTGCCATTTGTGACAACATGGATGGGCCTTGAGGGCATTATGCTGAGTGAAATGTCAGACAAGTGAAAGACAAATTCTATATGGTCTCATTTATATGTGGAATTTAAAACAAACAAACAAAACATACACTCGACGAAACAGAAAACAAGTTGGTGGCTGCCAGAGGCAGGTGGTGGGGGTGGGCAATGGGTGCAGTTGATCAAAAACACTCATCTTTTATGACCAGATTCTTCTGTTGTCCCACTGGGCTTTATCTGCTGCGTCCTCTTGTCTCCAAGGACACTGTCTCCAAAGAATCCACAGTTGGCGTACTTTTTTTACCTCAAATTTTATTACTCGGAAGATTCATTAGTGACTCTGTGCTTGGGTCACCAGGGACTCTTTCTTTATTCACTTAGTTGCATTTTTATCAAACAAATATGAGTCAAGTAGATATAGTAAATGTGCTCATAGCTCTGAAAGGTCAGAAAAGCAACTTTCCTGAAACCAGAGAAGATTCCTGACGTTCCACAACCCTCGGATGATGGTATTTTATTTGTTTTGGGTTTTGTTTTTCGAGGTGGTTATAACAGTACAAAAAGTTATTCCATGTAATTGGTTTAAGACAGGTATTTCATAGAGGTCTACACATTGTAGAGTTGTTGTGAATAGGACAGTGGATTCATAAGCAAAAGTGACAAGAAGTTCATATGAAAATCTTCATCTCAACTACCGTTTTCAATTTAGGAGTTTTAAGATTTCATGTGTTTCAACAACCAACAGAAACTATGATCAACAGTCATAATAGTAAGTGAGATCAAATTTGTCATTGTAATTATACTTACTCTCATGTTATTTGAGTTTTATTATGTTCTGGAAAAAATATTTTACCTGTCTTTTAAAAACTGGGAATGTGAGTGATAAATTTCTATATTTGGTAAAGCATACATTTTTTTAGAATGCAGTAAAAGCTTTGGATATATAAATGTCATTTTTCTGGGAAATTTTTATGCACAAGCATATACTAGCATTTAAAAAGATTAAAACTTGATAGCTATCCAGAAATATATTCCCTATATCATGTACCTCACATCAAAAACTAAGATATATATTCATAGAATTGTGTAAGCATACTCCTCAATCCCCCAAAAGACTGACACATGGACTGAAGTTGCACCCTCGTTAGAGATCCCTGTCCTCATTTCAAACTTATATTTTGGCAGTGGAATAAACAAGAACCGGGCACATTTCACTGAGTCATTTTCTAAGTCTTGTTTATTATACCTTATGATACCTTAGAAAGAAAAAAAAACAGATATTTTTTAGTGCATGAATGATATCCAGCGGTAAAAGGCCTAAGTAAGTTTGCTCAGTAACGCGATGATGTGCTGCCTGAGAGGTTAGACGGAGGGTCGGAGGAAGGTAGGAGATGGGCAACAGAAATATTTCTCCTATATCTCAATTTGACAAATACAGTTGCTGAATGCGTCACAGTTCCCTTAGAGGGTTCCGTCGGGCAAACCAGGAGCCTAGTTCAGGTCTTCTTCCTTATGTTGGGTACTGTAACCCTGAGGCCTTAACTGCATTTGCTACTTACATGGTCAGAGCTGACCCTGTCCCACTTCAGTACGATACCACCTCGCTTCACACAATAAAGCGAGTCTATGTACAATAAGCTGGGGTCTCCAGGGGAAACTTTTCGTAATTCACTACTGTAGGGAGATTTCAAACCTAGAGACACTAGTTTTGAAATGAAAATATTTGAGTCCCTACTAAGGTAATTAATTGATAAAGCCCTAAAATAATCCATGGAAGAATTATTAACATAAGCTCAGAATCAAGACAGTTCATGTCCTCTGGATTTAATATCGCACAGATAGATGCTCTCAGTGACAATGGCATCAGAAGAATTTTACCAGAAGTTACGGTAAAGAGAAGACTTTCTCTTTTCTCTGCTGTGAAGGCAGTAGACAAAAGTAGAAAAGTTGATCCTCTTCAAAATATAAAGAAGAGTGAAATTCAACAACAGATTATAACATGGAATATTTAAATAAATGAAGTTAATATCAAAGTGCTCTGAATTAGCAGTCAAAACAGAAAGGAAAATAGCTTTGTAGGTGTCTGGAAAACATGCTGTAAATAAATTCATTTAGAAACATTTATTGAACAGTTGACAATATATCTGGGCTGTGTTAGTTGTATCATAAAACATACACACATTTCATGATGCACCCCCCAAATTAGTATTGTTTCTTAATTGTTAAAACAACAGGAAGCATTGTTTTCCGTGAGAACATGGTGGTGATATGGAGATAAGAGATGGCAGAGTCATCAGACCTGCAGGAAATTTTCCAGAGGGCTTCAAGACGAAGCAGAAAACCAATGGAAGAATAGAAGTTACTCAGGTGAGTTGAAGACAGAGAGCAGATGTTTTGTGAGAAGTGTTTTCTAAAATACCTGTCACATAGAATGTTCTCAATAAATGTAGTCTATTACCTTTATTGAAAGGAACACCTTAAGAGGAGGAGGAAGAGAGAGAAGATCATGACTTTTATTTGTGGCACAGTGAATTTGAAGTTCATGTCAATGTTCAAATCAATATGCTAGGTTGCATCTCAGAATTAGAGAGGACTATTACAAAATGAAGAACGGGATTTAGTAATGACCACCTGAAAAATATTTCAAAACATAGGAATTGACGAAAATACAGAGGGACTATTAGTAGTGACAAGTGAAGAGAGAGGAAGAAAACACTAACAGACAAAGGGGTCAGAGAAATATATCATCTGTGGTATCTATGAAGTTTATTTGTCGGAGCACTTCATGAAAGTATAAATGTAAACTGTGCATAAATATAAGTATATTGTGCATTAAGACCTTCTCTATTCTGCATCACTGTGAATTACAAGTGATTACTTAGAAACAGAGAAACCTTAGAAGGAGGCAGCGTCAAGAGGGGAGCTGAAGAAGTTGTGTTTGTGTGTGTGTGTGTGTGTGTGTGTGTGTGTGTGCGTGTGTGCATGATACAGTTTAGAGGTGTTCATGGGAGAAAATACGTGTATGCAATAAACAAAAACAGAAGACAAAATTCTTTCATCATAAAGCTGGAACAGAGACTTCAATTGACTACAGTGTGTTCAAAGTGAGCTCAAGTTTTCTGACATATATTAACACTTTAAGAAGGAATAAAGTGTCAAACAAACACATCAGAGAATTCTTGAAAGTCAAAAGATGTCTTTGGGGTTGGCCCTTTGGCAGAGTGGTTAAGTTCATGTGCTCAGGAGTCAGAGGCCCAGAGTTTTGCAAGTTCAGTTTTTTGGTGCTGAGATGGCACCACACATCACACCATGTTGAGGTGGTGTCCCACATAACACAACCAGAAGGACCTACAACTAGAATATACAACTATGTATGAGGGTGCTTTGGGGAGAAGAAGAAGACAAAAAGAAAAAGGATTGGCAACAGATGTTAGCTCAGCTGCCAATCTTTAAAAAAACATCTTTGCTCCTATGAAATGACAGACCCATAGGAGTCAAAAGTAGTCCTTTATAGAATGTGCATTTAAATTGCAAATAGTCTCTAAATAATAATAAATAAGAAAACCCTTAACATGATAGATTTCATAGGTTCAAATAAGCTATAATAAAATGTCTCAATGTTACGTGAAGATATGAAAGAAGTCAGGAGTCAGGAATGAGAAATGATACAGTAACAACATTCATCCTGCTGGGACTGACAGAAGACCCCCAACTGCAAGTTTTGGTTTTTATCTTTCTCTTTCTCTTCTACTTGCTGAGCATAACTGGGAACCTGACTATCATCTCTCTCATCTTCTTGGATTCCCACCTTAAAACAGCCATGTACTATTTCCTACAAAATTTCTCATTCTTGGAGATCTCATTCACATCTTCTTGTATTCCCAGATACTTGTATAACATAGCAACAGGTGACAAGGTCATTACCTACAATGCCTGTGTCAGCCAAGTGTTTTTCACTCATCTCTTTGGTGTAACCGAATTTTTTCTCCTGGCTACCATGTCCTATGACCGCTATGTGGCCATCTGCAAACCCTTGCATTATGGAACCATCATGAATAACACAGCCTGCAGAAGACTTGTCTTTTCTTCTTGGGTAGCTGCTCTATTTATTATAACCCCCCCGCTTAGCCTAGGCTTAACTCTGGAATTTTGTGGTTCTAATACCATTGAGCACTTTATCTGTGATGCATCTCCCCTCTTGAAAATCTCTTGTTCAGATACTTGGTTCATGGAACAGACCGTTATAATCTCTGCTGTGCTGGCCCTCCTTATGACACTTACATGTGTAGTTCTGTCCTACATTTACATCATCCAGACAATTTTAGGATTCCCTTCTGCTCAGCAAAAGAAAAAAGCCTTTTCTACGTGTTCTTCCCACATAATTGTGGTTTCCATCACCTATGGCACCTGTATCTTCATCTATATCAAATCTTCTCCGGAAGAATCAGTGGCCATTAACAAGGGCGTGTCAGTGCTCACTACTTCCATTGCGCCAGTACTGAACCCTTTCATTTACACACTGAGGAACAAGCAAGTCAAGCAAGCCTTCAATAACTCAATCAAAAGGATGATATCTTCCAGAAATAAGAGAATGTGAAGTCAAATGAACATGCATGATGAAATTGTCGAATTTTCTAATGAAGTTAGCTTCCTCAGAACATGCTCATTTATCCTCATCTAGTGACATCTTCCTCACAAATCTCTTTTTGGATTTTCCATAAACAGGCATATTAATAGCTTTTTAAAATTTAAATCCTGGCTTTACCTCCAAATTAGCAATATCAAAAAACAAAACACAACAAATAAAACAGAAGTATATCTACAAATTAGAAATATCAAAAGAGAAAAACAAAAGCTAATAAATTTCTACATTTTCTAGCAACAGAATACGTAATAGTTGCTATTGTTTCTTCCAATCCAAAGCTTTCAAATGATTTAGTTAGTGATTCACTTAAATATGTATTGAGTACTTTCTTTGGGCCAGGTGCTGTTTTAGGCACTAAAAATAGATGGAAAAAACCAACAAAAACTTACTCCCCATGTACCCTCAGAGGTCAACAGAAACATTTCTATTTTAAAGAAAGCAAAATAGTTACTTTTAACTCAAACATTTTTTCATGAGAGAGAATTATAAACATTATAATTATGGGAAAACATCTAAAATACTGAAATAAAAATTTTAGGACTGGCAACATATGCACAATTGATAATAACCTAAAATTTTAAATGCTCTAAGCTTTTCTCAAAAAATACTTGAAGAAGGGAAGGTGTTGAAAACAGTAAGTTTTCTGAGGAATTTAAATATTTTGATATTGCAAAAAACCTGCAGATGTAGACACATGTATTGAAATGCCAAGACAGAATGTTGCTAAAATAAGCAAACACGTCAAAAATGGAAGTGAAAGAAATCAAGGAAATAAAAGCAACTAGATCTATGGGATCTTGGACACTTAGAAAAGTTTTCAAGTGGAATATGAAAAGTTGTGCATAAAGGTACTGCATCTTTTGTGGTACCAATACATACCTTGGAAGAACAAAGACAGTCTACTACATTTCCTCCAGAAAAGGAAGCTCATACATTTCATCATCTGAAGCTATTTCCCGCATCCCACCATACTCTAGGCTCCAGGAATCGGAACCTCCATTCCCCCTCTGTGTGCATGTGGAGTCTTTTCTATCTGCTATTTCCCTGTCAAAATATATTTTCCTCATTCTTTATTGGCTCATTCTTTTTTTCCTTCAGTTTTCAATTTAAAAGTCATTCGAGTTCCCCAAAAAGTTAAACATAAAACTATCTTATGATCCAGCAGTCCCAATTATGGGGATACAGTCCAAAGAATTGAAATCAGGGTCTCAAAGAGATATCTGCACACCTACGTTTATTGCAGCACTGTTCACAATAGCTAATACGTAGAAACAAGCGAAATGTCTATTACTGATGAATGAGTAAATTAAATGTGGTTTATACATACAATGGAATACTATTCAGTCTGAAAAAGTAAGGAAATTCTGCATCATGTGACAACACGAATGCACCTTGAAAACATTATCCTACATTAAATAAACCAGACACAGAAAGACAAGTAATTCATGATTCCACTTATATGAAGTATCTAAAGTAGTCAAATTCATAAAATTGAAATCTAGAATTGTGTTTAACAGGAGCCTGAGAAGGTTACGATGAATGGGGAGTTATTAACAAACAAGCACGACATTTCAGTTAAGTAAGGTGAGTAAACTCTAGAGATCTGCTCCACAACATTGTACCTGTAGTCAACAATAATGAATTTTGCACTTAAAATTTGTCAAGATCTCATGTTGTGCTCTTACCATAATAAAATTTTTAAAAATACACACGCATTTTTCAGATTAAAAAAAGAAACAAACCTTCATAAATACGATTTCCAATGAAAGCCTAAATCTAAAGCTAGATACAAGTTAACATTCCTTTACTTGATTACTAAGTCATCATTTAGCAATACCTATTGTTACTAAAAAGAACCATTCCTTTGAAGTTTCACATTTCTATAACATCCTTAAGACATGTCCATGCTTCACCCTTGAAAAAATTTATGAAAAGAGCATCAGAATATCTACTGCATATTTGGTGACAAACAAAATAAGCTCAGAAAACAACACGTTACTCATAATTACAACACTAATACTGTTCTCATGAACAATGAAGATCTAGCAGCCTGTGATATTGTGATTTATAAGAAATATCTATTTCATCTTTGTCCAGTTCCTGGCACAGAGCTCCTAAGATCTTGGGAATTTCCAAGTTGATGAGAACAATAAAAGTGTTTTTTGTTTCATTAATAAGGTGACTTGGGAGTTTCCTAGGTAACTTCAGGGTGGAGGCTGGTTGCCAGAGGAACCAACCTTTGATTCGAGGGTTTGAACCTTCAGTCCCCCTCCCACCGCCTCAGGAAGAGAGAAGGGCTGGAGAGTAGATTCAATCACCAATAGCCAATGATTTATTGAATATTGCCTATGTAATGAAGCTTCCATGAACATCTGAAAGGACAGAGTTCAGAGCTTCTGGGTTGCTGAACACATAGCGGTGCGGGGAGAGTGGTGCATTTGGAGAGGCTATGGAAGCTCTCTGGCCCTTCCCACAGACCTTGCACTATGCATCTCTTCCATCTGCCTGTTCCTGAGTCATACGCTTTTATAATAAACTGGTAATCTAGTAAATAAAATGTTTCTCTACATTCTGAGTCATTCTACCAAATTAATCAAACCCAAGGAGGGGGAGTCGATGAAACCTCAACCTATAGCCGATGGGTTAGAAGCACAGACGATGACCTGGACTTGGCCTTGAACTCTGAAATGAGAAGGGGGAAGTCTTGTAGGACTGAGCCCTTAACCTGTGGGATCTGATACCATCTTGAGGCAGATAGTGTCAGAATTGAGTTGAATTATAGGACACCCAGCCAATGTCAGAGGATTGCTTTGTGTGGAAACAAAACACACATCAGAGCTGATGTCAAAAGCGTGAGCTGGAAAACAATGTCAATTCTACTGGGAATTCTTTACTGCCCAATCCCACATGCCCCCAAACACCAAGAATCACCATGCAGTAAAACTCTATATCTCCCCTCTCATAATATTTTCTCTTTTTCTATCTATATCCTTTAGTGTATTGTAAATATTGAAGTCAGAGACTTGTTAATATTGTTCCCTTAAGTATGAATAGTGCCTGCCCTTTCACATATGTTGATGACTTTCTCAACCTCAAAAACATCAAAACTGGTTGAATCATTATTTGTAACAGAAAAAACTTTTTAAAAGCTTTCAACCAAAAAGAGAGAAAAGAATTAAATGTGTCAAATGTTTGAAATCGTAGATGGGTTTTGGTTATAACATAAATACGCTTATTCCATTTTTATCTTTGTATGACGGTCTGAGTGAAAATGTAGTTGAAATTTATTAACACACTTATACGCACCTATCACTTTATATGTTATTAGTAATCTTCCAAATATCACCAGACGAATTCTCTTTTCTTACCCTCTTTCATACATGATAGGACAACTACCTAGTTTATGTAGGATACATAATGGCTCACTGTACCAGACTTCCAAAGTAATAATATTGCATAATAATCAGCTTTACTGTCTCTGAAAAGTCTCAACTGTTACAGCAGCTTTTGTATTTAAAGACTTGATAAGTTCCAGCTCCTTTGATCTCTTGCTGTATCATACCTTTTTGTTACCATCTGCCATGTTTCTAAGATGTCTCACCACCGTGACCACATTCCAAGCAGAAAGAGGGGAGGCAAGACAGAATATGCAAATGCTTTTTTCTTTTAAGCTATATCCTAGATTTGCAGAGATCATGTCCACTCCCATTATATTGACTAGAATATAGTCACTTGGTCAGCTTCAAGAGAGTTTCAAAAATTAACATTGAGGCCATAATTTCTAAATTCAGATCCTGCTACCACTCTTACTAGCCATGAGATTTTTATCAAGTTAGTTAACATTTTTTAATCTTTGGGGATTTAGTCCATTTTTAAAAACTAGCTTTGTTAATATATAACATATATCATATAGTTCACCCATTTAGAGTGTACAATTCAGTGATTTTTTGGTACATTTATAAAGTTGTGCATGCTTCACCATCATCGAACTTTAGAACATTTTCTTCACTTCACAAGGGACCTTGTACCCACCAGCAGTCAGTCTCCACTCATCTCTCCCCACATTTCTTCCCAGCCTCAGGAACCCCTAGTATATTTTCTTTCTCTATGGATTTGTCCATTCTGGACTTTTCATATAAATAGAATGATACAATACGTCATCTTGTATAACTGGGTAATTGGTTTCTTTCCAGTCCATTTATTTTAAAGTAAAGAGTTTTTTTTAGACCTACCACGTTGTTAGGTGCTTTCATTTTGTTCCAATTTTTGTTCTTCATTTTTTATCTTTGAAATCTCACTATTAATTTGTATGTTATACAGTCTATTCTTTTTTATATACACTTTGTGTTTCCTCCAGAGTTAAAACTACTTGGTTATCTTTCTAATCTTCTAAGCTACTTTTTATAGGTTTCCATAATATGATTATATTTTATCTTGTCTTCTGTATCTTTGAAAATAGTTGACATGAATTGTTGAAGTCTATACCTTGTAATTCCATTATCCAAGCTACTATGGGTTTGTTTCTGTTGTCCACTTTGCTTCTGTTTCACTCACATGGATTCTTTTCTTCTCATATGTTTTTTAATTCTCATTAAAAGACATATGAGAATGTGGACATTGTACAGTGCTTGAGGATTATTTGTTAAAAAAAGGTTGAAGGTAGAATAATGTTATCATCCTATGAAGAAGATATTTGTTTTATTTCTGCTAAGTGCCTGATTAGCAGTCTGGACACATCTTGAAACAAGCTCAAAAGCAGATGTTGTAAAATTTGGCTATAATTCCATGGCGGGGTTCTTACACTCCTGACTCACCTTATCCTTTAAATACATTCACTCATGTCACAATCCAAAGAGTTGAGTACTTTACTAGACCCACCACATTGAGATTTGCAAAACACCATAGGCAAAAGTGGTTAGCAAATACAGAATGTTGCTCAAACTTTCATCTTT